TAAGCAGAGCTTTGGAGAGATTGTAAGTCCCCTAAGTTCAGCGTTTCTGCTTAGTGGGGGCCGTGAGGGCCATCGAGCATTTGCGTCGGAAAGCGTTGGAAGCATTTGGGAGCGTCGGAAAGCGTCGGAAAGCGTCGGAAACGTCGGAAAGGGGGTGTCAAAATTGCAGGGATTTGACGCCCCGCGACGCCCCGGCCATCGGAAAGCATCGGAAAGCATCGGAAAGCATCGGAAAGCATCGGAAAGCATCGGAATGTATTTCAGTCTGCAGGCCTCGCAACGTTCGGAACATCTACGGAAAGGGTTGAAAACCATGGTCCTGCGTAATGCCTTGGAACGAGTTCTGCCGCTTGCTTTCGCGCGTCCTTTGCGATGCCTAATTAAGCTTGTAAAACATTCCGTGGCCTTTCAAAACTAAGATGTGCAGTTTTGTTTTCTCCTGTCAGGTGTTCTGTGGAAGTGCTTGAACTGAGCGGATATTAAAGCCCCTGCAGGCCGCTTTGTTTTTGGCCATCGTGTACCCATCCTTGACTGGACATGTCGCTGTATGCAGCGCGGCTTTGGGCGGTGATTGGCAACAGAGGCCTACGGCCCCTGTTAAAAGCCTGGTGTTGCAGTATTAACGCTGTGTCTTGAGGCGCAGCAAAAGAGTCGTCAAGTATCAAACGGTCAAGTTTAAAGGTTTAAAGCAACGATCCTTGGTGACTATTCGCCCGGGAGACCAACACAATTTTGTGCACATCGAAGAAAGCAGCAAAAAGAGGTGTGTAAGCCCGCTTTAGTTCGAGCAGCCATAGGCAGAGTTGCGTGTGGGGGTGCAGTGCCACCAGCTACTACAAGGCTGGCGAGCTCGCAGTGGTCAGTGTTGTTGGTACGGAGCTGCATGTTTCAACGTGCTGCGCAAACTGGCGTATAAACTACAAAAGCCTAGCCTGCAGTTAAACCCACTAGCTTCAAACTTTGCCATGTTAATAATTACTCGCTGTGAGCGCCTGACATGTGTATCCTTCTGTGTTGGAGGGCCTTCTCCAAGAGCCAACGCATTCAAGCTGTTATCTGGCGTCTGATGCTGAGAAACATTGAGCGGGACACCCGCTGCAAGCAAACTGGGTCGGGCGGTGCTTGTCCTGCCTCCGTGGTAGCCAGTCTTTGCAAGTAGTCCGACAAAAGTAACAAATACGCTGGAGGCTTTGCGGTTTCCATGCGGTAGGTGGTGCCACATGGCACGTTAACTTTGGAGCTTGCACTTGCAACTCTCCACTTTTAAGAGGAGACGCTGAACTTTGGCGGGGACTTACAATCTCTCCAAAGCTCTGCTTACAAGACATCTATAACAGTATACTATATTAGGAATTATTCCGCACACATCCGCTAAGTTCACTCTGCCTGGGTTGGACTTATTAATATGTTGTATTAATTGTTTGCCGGCGAAGCCCATCTGGAACTTGCAATAACTTTGAATAGCGTGCAAAACAGCATGCACATGTTTACACGTGCTGCATGTGACTGGTCCGCGGTATTGGTTCTGCAAAATCACGCGTTTAGCTAGAACTGACGAGTTTAAGCAGCAATTACGAAATGCTATGCAATGGTTACGGTGGCTGGTTTTGCGGGTTGTGTTTGCTTTTGAGCACGCTTGTTCAAGCTGCTTGGCCCACCCGTTTGCATGCTTAATTTACAGACTACCTCCGAACAACGCGCTCTGCCGAAGCCGTTTCGTCAAACTGGGCCCTGCCAAGAGGTAGCAAAGGCAAATGCTACCAAGATCCTCGAAGAAGCACTGTGCGACACGTCTTGCTGTGTGCCAAGCTCTGGTGACATGTGTTGCCCGTTGACAGGTTTCATTTGTCCAAGCATAGCGTCCTGTAAAATTGGGATCAACAGCCGGCAGCTACTGCCACAGTTTGGAATACTTAAAACACCACTTCGCAACACAAAACACGAGCAACTTGTTTTTGTGGGTTAACAGGGTTGGACTGAACTCTTGAAATGTCTGACTCCGAAAATGCCAAACCATGTGCTTGAGCACAGTTCACTATTAATTTGGTTTGGATGGGTTTTACAGGTGAACTTTATGGTTTTGAGAATCTGGATAGCCGTGCGCACAACCAAACACTACCAATGGCCGATGCGGTTTGCCAAAATTGGGCTAAACTCTTGGATCCGAGTCTGAAAATGTCAAACATATCATGTTGTTTGTTGTTTACTGTGAATGTGTTGTTGTTGATGGGTTCAAAAGAAACATTCCATAGCGGGGTAAATCTAGAAACCCGTGAAAACAACCAAACATCAACACCTTGCTGTTGTGGCTTGACTGATTTGGGCTAAACCCTTGGAATGACCATTTCCGAACATGACAGGGCCAAATCGTTGAATCACTGCTCTCTTTCGCTGTGCAGTGTGATTTAATTGTACACACTCTCAGCGGAGTGGCGATCCAAATATGTATGAAACGTCTCTGACAACAGGCGTCCCTCAACCAGTCGGGGTTAGTCGTCACTGTGATTTGAGCTCGTTTATGAAACTCGGCCGTCACACGTGAGTCTCAGTGTGCATCATCTGTTTCAGGTTATACGAGTATGCATCAGTTGAGTTTGAGCTCGTCTGATGATGGCTGGTACAATGAACCAGTTGTCACTGGTCAGTTTGCCTTACATACACACATTTACTGATGACAGCTGATGCACTGATGGCAACGGATCTACGGATTCATTGCATCTGTTTTCAGTTAATACCACATGTGACTTAGACTTATAAAACATGATACAGACTGATATAATATCATACCAAGAACCTGAACTAAAACCCCAACATGAAGCAACCAAGACCAGTGATCCAACACCATGCGTTGACACGTTCAAAGCAAATAAGTTGAATAATTTAGCCGCAAAACTGTCAAGCTACAACGATACATTGTTCACGTTCGACTTTTGTTGTGGGCTTCCAGATGCTCCAAACCGTGGTGTTCACCTGTGAAACCCAACAACACCAAAGCACGGACAGCCAACAAAAGCATGTGTTGGACACGTCCGGAGTTGGATTGCAAAAGTGAACCCCACTCTGTCAAGCCACAAGTGGCTAAGTTGTTGTTTTGGTTAAACTGTGTGGGTTGCCAAAGTTTCCAAACCATCGGGACTATCTAAACTCATCAAAACCAAAATATGGAGTTGGGGATTTCAACTGGTCAGCCCAACTCTGTCAAGCAAAAACGGCAAATTATTCATGGTCGGTTGTTTTCGAAATTATCGTAGTTCCAAGCCATGAACAAATCCTTACAAACCGGTGAACTGTTTGACACTTCCGAACTTGGGAATTTCAAGAGTTTAACCCATCTATGTCAAGCCACAAGGACTGGCTGTGCATGTTTGAAGTTGTTAAATGGTGCTGCAAATCTTAAAGCTGTGGAAGTAGCTGCCGGCCGTTGGTCCCAGCTGTAAACGAAACTATGTTGAAATAGGGGAGACCTTCCAGCGGCCAAACACAAGTCACCAGAGCTTGGCGCACAGCAAGAACACGTCGCCCAGACCTTTTGCAAGGACTTCTGGCACGGCCCAGTTTGGCAAAACGGCCCCTGCAGTGCACGCAGTGTACCGGGGTGTTCCTTGTGGCAGCTAATTCTCGCGCGGCCATTTTTGTTGCTGGCATTGCAAGGTTCAAAAGAGTCAAAACTGCAAGTGTCATGTTTTTTTAAAGATGTGTTTGAACTGTGAACATACACGTTTGTGATTGGTTCGTTTTTCAGTCTAGGAACCGCCAGCAGAATGATTGCCAACTTACGGCCACTTAGACTCTGTGTCGGTTTTCAAGGCAAAATGAGTTAGGCTAACAAATAGGTTGACTGTCTAGTAGTTAAGTGGTTCTAATTGCACAAGTAAATGTATGTCCTGCGTCTCCTCCTAGTTGGGGCTTGGGGTCTTCAGGACGACGCCCCGGGTGCTTGTGGGGCTCCAGCGAGCCATCCCCGACACCCCGGAGCCCGGTGACACCCCCACAGCAATTTGGATGCTTAGGGTGTGGAAAATATTCCAGCCCGTGCAGCAGGACTGTCTGTCTTCGTTCTTCTGCTTGTCTTCAAAAACTTCGTAGGACCCAGCGAGCCTTAGTCTTCAGGAAGTTTCTATCCTGGTCTTGTTGTAGGGTAAGGACCCAACGACCTGTGACCCACTTCCTGATATTGATCTTACGTGTGTCGACTAGGTCGAACACTTCATTGTCAAGCCAGGATCTTGTCTCAGTAGCTGTTGCTTCCTTCCGCTTCTTACCAATGAGCGCGGATGTGGATGAAGCCTTCAAAGATTCTTGCTTGGAAGACTAAAACTGCTCGGCCATCGTCTGTCATGTTCTTGAGCAATCTGGCAACATGGCCCTTGTCTGTGTAGTTCTGATGACAGAATCCACGCTTTGATGGTTGGTTGAGGGTTCCTTTCACATGTGCAAGGTGGACAGGAACCGTAAAGGATCCAGCGTTAGCGCAGCTCTTCTGTTCAGCTGTCATGTGTGACCAATGTGCTTCATGGAGAACGAGGTCGTCATATCTGAACCAGCTGACATCTCCGTCGCGCGACGGCGGCTGCTTGCCGGCCATTGACAAATTGAGCGTTTCCTCAGTCAAGCCTGTTGATCGGCCTGCGCTGGAGTAGACCTCCGCCATCTGATGACATCTCGTATGGCCGCTACCACAATTGAGGTCCCAAGCCGGGTTACCTTGTTGGGAACAGGTACCTTGTGGAAATGGTCTATTGTAGGTCCCTGGATCTATCCCATGGAGTGTATCTGGAAGTCCCTGATAGGATTGTCTTGTGGGTATAACCTGTAAAGCTATATAATTTTGTTGAGTTGCTTCTTGATTCAGTTGTTGTTGTTGGATGCTTAATATTTTTGATTGACGGGCCGTCGGAAGATTACATAAGTAAACATGTATAACGCATGCTCCGACAAGCCACACCACACCAGCAAATCACAGCACATTCCAATCTTGCAGAATGGACTGAGGGCAAAGCCATGGTGTACATCGGCTGAATCCTTGGCATCCAAATTCATATACCACTCATGGGAGCCCGTGCTGCCGTGCTGGCGTACGGTGCTGCCTCTCTTCGCAAAATGCCGCACCCACAAAGCACGTCGAACCAACAACACCTAAAGAGATTGCACCCTTTGTATTTGGAGTTAATGTGTGGGGAAGTGCACAAACTCTGAACCAGCAGGGAACGGCAGTGGCAATTTGCTGAGTGCAACTGAGATGCACGCACTTCTGGTCGCATGTCACCAGGCAGACTTTGTTGATTTGACTTGTGAGCCTGGCCACTGCGATCAGTGCGATGTGTCTCTTGCTGCAACAGGTCATCACAGTTGCTCGAGCTATTGAGCATGTGGCCTCTTCATACTCTTCCTTCCACTGCATCTGCGGAAGTTCTTCCTTTGGCACCTGAAACAGCCAAACCATACCGCTCGTGCCTTCTACCCAACATCAACTTGCAACACCCGAGGCAGCCCCTCACAAGCTTCACATGCCTTCATGCTGTTCCACTTCAGTCCCGCACTTGTCCAATGCTTTGCTAGCAACCATGGGGCAAGCCAAGAAAGTTCATTCCACGCCCCTGCCCTGACAGTTCATGCCTCAACGATGCAGCTCCACATATGCAGGCCGTGCGCTTTGCGCCTGGACGCCTGAATTGGAACGGCGTCCGATCAGTCAGATAGGCGCCATCTGCCGTGAGCCTTTGCACCCTACATGCGCACCGAGCAGCAGCAAACGCTGCTGTCTCCGCATCTCCAAACACGATGAGGGCTTGTGGCTTCTGCAGAAGGTGGTCCATCCACTGAAAATACTTCCTGAACCTCAGATGCTGGTCAAAAGCATCGCGAACAGCGCAACACTCAATGTTGCAACATGTCCGATTGAATCGACAAAGCGCACAGTTGATGGCTTGAACATAGTAATATGGGGGTGTTCTTTTTTGGGGGCCCCCAGAATGGTGGTGTCCCTTCAAAACCACAAGACAAGGGGTACCCTCAACAAAAGCAGACCCATATGCGAACTGTGCGGTTTGAGTTGACAGCACCTCAGCCCTGACCCACTGATTCTGCTTGTTCAAAGCTTTGGTCATTTTGTGAAACACTTTGAACCTCGGTCGCTTCTGATTATGGTTGTTTCTCTTTTCGAGTATACTTGCTGCAAAGCACATAGAACCCAAGTAAGCCTGCTTGCGAACCGACGTGCTCGAAATCTCAGGAGCCAAATGACTCGCTCCACTCCTCTACCGACTTAAATGTTGCGTGTGAGCCATGCGCGAGTGGCAGTGGCTGATTGCGCGTTTGTCTTTCCAAAGGCATTGTGACACACTGCCGTCTGTAGCTCTATGTCCCGGACGAATGTCCCTCACCCTCCTGCCAAGTAGCAAGTCAAGTGGCTTGTTCAAATGCACTCGTACAACACAAGCAATGCCTAACTAAGACTCAACTGTCACGGCAGCGCCGTTTTCACAAGCCACGCAAATGTCAAACCGTTGACGTCACAAAGCGCTCCTGGTAGCGCGCATGCGCAGGCCAATGCTCACGCTTCAGGTTCCAAAGACCAGTCACCAAGGTGGTGTTGGACAATCTCCGCCTGGCATCGTGCACAACGGCATCCTGACAAATCCAAGCAAGCCAAGTCGCTGAAAGACATGTTGTGGAATGGCAAACGCAAAGCCAAACAGCCTGAAATGAAAAATCCAGCGTGGAGCACATGTGCAGCGATGCATATGTATCTGCGCATGGAATATGCATAATATGCACATGCTTCTACCTTGACATTTGTGCACGGACTCCGCTCTAGAGGCAACAGGGTCTCGCCTTGGGCAAACAGAGCGATGAAGCGAAAGGATCCTGCCAAGTTGCAAAAAATGGACGGTCTCGCTCAACACGAGACATCAATCATTCGGGTTCATTTCTGCTGGACAGCCACCAACAAGGATCCTCACACTTGAGAATCGGTCTTCCCAAAACAACTCTCCGCAGGCCCTGTTTTCCTGAAAGACAAATGTTTGTTTCGTTCGAATTGCGGCTCTCTGCGGTTTCCGTGCCTGCAAAGCCCCAAAAACCCGCCGGCCCTCTTGAATTAAACACCCCAGTCAAAACACTTTAGGGAATATTGAAACGTGTTCAATGAGAAAACCTCTAAGTGTCTGTTCGTGTGTGACTGAGTTTTTTTGTGCTTGGATGAGGTTGGCTCTGAACCGAGGCTTGCGACTTTGCCGTCCTTGCCCGCACTTTGACTCCGCAAGGGCTGCGGCAACAACGCTCCCGAGTATGTGGCAAATAACCTGCAGCTAGCAAGTGGCGAGCAAAAATGAAAAAAACGTCCCGTGACTCATGCACACACACAGACATATCGGGCCCCATTCGGGCAGGCCTGGAAAGCAGTCTTCTGGGGGGTAGTCCCCGCAGCAGCGCTCAAAGCTGTAACCGTCCTTGGTTAGCTCGGTTGCCCACCCTTCGACTGGAAATATGATCAAAACGACTCTTTGAGTTTTCATGCGCCCATCTGAAAGCTTTGATCAGGCACGGGTCGGTCCAGCAGCTAGGATTCTGCTCCTGCTGCCAGTCGCTCTGACGCGTTGCTGTCGCTGTTGCCAGAAGTGCCGCACATCGCATCGTCTGCCCATGGGGCACTCAACTGCTCAACTCCCTCCTCTGACGCTGCACTGCTGTATGACGCAGACTGCACCATGTCAATGTATGTCGATCCTGTCTCATTGGCAGTCTCCATCCTGGATGGCTTCGGTGGTGTAAAAGCCAATCTGATGCCATGCTCTGCTCTAAGCAAGCAGTAGGTCACAAACGCGCCAACTTGATAGACAGCCACCCAACAAACATGAACAAATCACGAATTAACCAACCGACCGACCAACCGAGTTCCAAGCGACCCACCTTCCCTTCCAATTCACCCCCACACATCAACCCACGCAACCACCCGCCCGCCCAGCACACCAACAAGCCACCGACCCACCGACACACCAACCGACAAAGCTGTCTGAAATCAAAACATCCAGCAACCTGCTTTCCGAGCTCCCAGCGATGCAACGCCGGATTGTGGGGCCTTGGGATGGAAAGGAACTGAAACTCCAATGCTTAATCACAAACCTCTTCTTTCGAATCGTCAGGATTGCAACATCCCTTATCATCAAGCTGTTGCTTTCTGCTGCAAATCATATATGTGTGACTTTGAGCCACCATCGTGGATACACACTGCCATGCGATTGTTGCCCTCTTTTCCGCACGGATGTAAAGTCATGCTTTCTCCAACGCCTTCAGCGTGGTGTGCTGCAATGTTATGGTACCTCAGCTCCTACCGTAGCAATAGAAGATCTCCTTGACGCAAGTCTGCAGGGCTATCAGCAGTGTGCATCTGCAATAGCGCCACGGAGTGTCAGCAAATACTGCGAGGCTCGGCACTAAGCTGCCTCGAATGGAATCTCATCTTCCTCCGCAAGTGCGCAAACGCTGCGGAAGCAAAAAAAAAAAGAGTGTGCGCACGCACATGCGCGCACACACACACACATGCACACACGCAACCACACAACATCACACAACCACACAACTGACCAGCACGCACACGCAGACGCACGCCATACGCACGACCCACCCACCCATGCACCCACCCGCCCACGCAGCCACGCACCCACCAACCCAGGCACCTACCCTCCGACCCAGGCAAGCACGCGAGACGCAAGGCAAAGCACAAACAACACAACGCACAAACATATACTCATACAACAAACACACCACACAGCACTCTCACACGACCGACACACACACACACGACACACGACACACGACACACGACACACGATATATACACACACACACGCATTCACACAACACAACACACAACACAACACACAACAAAAAACACGCTGGGGCGTGCGCGCGCGAGGCACGAAAAGCGCACGCGCACACACACACACACACACGCAGAGGTATAAACACACTATCGTGAGGAAGATCCTCCAAAAGGCTCAGGCACGTCACACACACACCCACACACACCGACACACACACACACAGAGCCAACACGAAAGAGAACACAACCACAAATAACAACAAACACACACACACACACACACACATGCTCTCGCGAGAGATAGAAGCTTTTCCGATGTGTGTATGCTCCTGCATGTACTCGTCTGCCGCAACCACTTGAGAGAGGTCTCTGCCTCAGCTAAAGATCAGCGCATTCCAGATCTTGCGTAGCCTCCAGGAAGCTTGCTTTAAGACTGCGGCTGCGGAACAGTGCGCAAAGCCGTTGGAGCTCAGAGTCGATTACCTCGGAATTCTTAGTTCAGCACAATACGAAGCCAAGGGTGCGGATTTAAAAAGTTGACCTGCGTGCCGTGTGCTGGGCAAATCAAACTCCAAACTCTGAAGCAGAAGCATGAAAACAAACAAACATCGGATTCAACACTCTGACAGGCGACAGTCAGCAAGCTCTGCTGCAGCGCACAGGTGTCCGGTGTTGCAGGAAGACCTTCCAGGTTCAGAAATGCAGTGAGAAACTGCCGCAAGTTTGGGAGGTTGCATCGAAGATGGCATGGTCAAAACGACTGGCGTGGCCGCCTGAAAGGCAAGCGCCGATTGACTTGAAGCGCTCAGCCACGGGCACGTCAGCATTCCTGGGCCAGTGAAAGAAAGGCAACGTGGCTTCATGAACGGTCTTCCTTGAAAGTGAATCATGTGTTTCTCTATCCGGAGCTCTTTCTCTATTAATTCCTTGACTCTTGGCCACAGTGCCACATAGTATTCCAAGTTCCTCTGACAAACAAGACCGCTCTGTTTAAATCAAATCCCCCTGATGGATTTCGTCTTCCAGAACCAACAACTAAGTCAAGGCCTGCACAGCTCTGGGTGGCAATTCCTGAATCTTTCCAGCCGGGCGACTCACAACGCTCGCCCAGCCGAAGCGCTTCTGGGTTCACTTCGGCTGCAGACAGCGGCAGCGCCTGCCAGTGAAGCAAAGGCAGAACAAAAAGCAAAGACACGAAAGCAGGAACGCCGCAAAGTACATGAAACCGAGGCAGAAAGAGGGAGAGAGAGAGAGAGATAGAGAAAAACAACAAAAGAAAACAGAAAGAAAGAAAGAAAGAAAGAAAGAAAAACAGGAAGACAGGAAGACAGAAAAACGGAGACCGCCCTTTCGGCAATCATGGTTTCTGTGGGTATGTTCTGGAAGCAAATCACCCTGTACCTTACACACATCAAAAAACTGCGCACAAGCTAGAAGAGCGAACCATCCTGTGTCACATAGGCAACACATCATGGAGGGAGACATCTGCACATTGAGGAAGGCCGTGGCAAGCGGACAAATAAGCAAACTATCGACTGTCAGATAGGTACAAAAAGCCGTCACCATGTAACCGTGAAGCTAAGGCTTTGCTGCGCCCCAAATCTGCTCTCAAACGCAAAACTGACGAACAGACACATGCACATATGCAGAGAAGGACAGATGGACAAACGGACAGACGCAACGACGGAAAAACGAAACAATAAAGACAGAAGGAAAGAAAGAAAAAAGAAAGAAAAAAAAGAAAGAAAGAAAGAAAGAAAGAAAGAAAGACGTTGATAGAGAGGAATTAGGGAATAAGGGAGGGAGAAAGAGAGAGAGAGAGAGAGGAAACAAAAATGAAGTCGCGCGAACTGAAAGAGGACAAGCCTATCACAAAAAAAAATAACACACATAACAAGACTTTTCGGCACGCGACGAACCTGATGGCACTGCTGCACCAGCTGCTGCAAGGCGTCTGCTAGCTGCAGGCCGCACTGCGCACGAGCAGCCTGCAAGGCCAGGGCAAAAGTTTTAGTTTAACCAAGCTTTCCAGTGGCAGCAACTGCTCATAATTTGGCGCCAGTCATTCAAGCCTCGCCTCGGCGAGGCTGTCCTCGGCAGGCAGTAGCAGACCCTCACAGGCAATCCTATTTCATAGTGTCATGGCAAGCCTTCCAGCTATGACTGGTACGTCAGGAAAGCCATGCGTCGCAACTAATTATCAAGCGCCCCGCAGGCAGCATGATTGGGGCGATGTCTGCAACCAAGCGTCAGCTTCGCCTGACTTGCAGCCGCTTCACGGGCATTGTTATCTTATGTAGCCCAGATTGCAAGTGCTATTGGATGTCAAATATATGGCAATTGCAAGGGCGAATGCCAACATTCACAAAAGGCACGAAAGCGACCATGCGCACCAATGGCTCAAGAGCATTTCCCACCTCAAAGTCGGTAACACACTTGGGCCTGAATATCCCGGCCAACGGGTTAAAAGCTATGCCACTGCGCAGCGGTGAGCACTTACACCTATTCTTTTTGCCTTTCTTGTCTTGAGGTTGAACCCCTACAGCTTTATGAGGAAAGTCGAGCAACGCATCAAACTTTATTGCAGTGTAACTTCATCAGCCGACACTCATTCTACCTGTCGCTGGACAGCTGCAGCTAGCATTTTTCTGGAATTGGGGAAGAAGGCAAGCACTCTCACAGACCGCTACAAAAAGCTATCTATGAAATGCAAACACGTTGGTACCACAAGCGGCACGAAGTTCCCAGGTTGGCTGACACACAGTTATGAATGCGTCACTAAAAGCATGAAACACAACTGCACGTAAGCACAGAACTGAAACAATGCTGATAACACAGCTGGAAAAGAATTGAAAGAGACTTGCTTGTCCTCCTTGTGTAGGAGTTCCCTTGAGACCAATATTCCATGGATAAGTCTGGGCGACGGACACACATTCCAAACAGTAGTAGCAGCCCCATGCTGTACTTTTGCCTACTTCCCATGAGACTCAAACATCACTGTCATCAGCATGAGTCAATATGCAGGCGAACGACCCTCCGAGTGCGTGCCTTGTGAAGACTCCAGCTGGCCCAGTTGCAGTTGACTGCTGTGCCATGAGCTCACGTGCCTGAGTCAATGAGCAAAGAAAGAGAGAAAGAGAGAGAGAGAGAGAGAGAGAGAGAGAAGGAGATCGAGAAATAAAGCAAGAAACGGGGTCAAGCTGCAACGCATGTGGACTGCACTAATTGAAACGTGAGACTATTGCTGATGGTAAGCCTCCACTGCCTCTAGAGACTTTACCAATACAAATCGAGAAACCTTAGTGATCCAAAGTGATATGTGTGTTACGCTCCATTCGGATCGGCTCCGAGCTGCTCTAGACGGCTCAAGGAGTAGTCAGCCACCTCTGCAGAGGTTATGCCAAGCAAAGACCTGGGCTGACCCGTCACTCAAGGCTGTCTGACCTTTTTGTTCTGACAATAAGTCTAGAAGGATACCGTCAGCATGATAGAAACACTTATTCCTTGCTGAGTCTGAGACTTGTTGATTCCTGTCTGCAAGGTGAGGAACACTTCCGCAATGGCGGCAGCCCCACTCTCTGTCTGACCTCAGGCACCACCATTTGCTGAAGCATTACAAACTAGAGCCATTTTATTTTTATCTCTCTTACATTGATCTCCTGGCCTTTTCCGCCACCATGCTCCTGCCAAACGTCAGGACGCCTCTCCAACCGCATTCTAAATCGTCAGAGATCATAGGTGTTGTACCGGTGTGCAATGTGTGCAATGCGCTGTGTGTGTTTCGGCTCCTGCAGGAGCTGCAAAGAGGTCAACTTCTTCTGGTGCCAGGCCTGCGCCTCGCGCCGCAGCTCCTGAAACAAATCCGCGCGCGAAGGGAGATGTCTTGACATGGCTCGGGCACAAGCACAAAGGCGTGTCCTGTAGCAGCTCGAGGCGAGCCCTGAGCTTCCAAGCTTCAAGCTGGCCTCAAATGCGACTCTGAAGCAAAAGGAAAGTGAAGCTCAGACTAAGCCGCTGAAGCCACTGTTGTCTCTTCAAATTCCAGAAGGTCTACAGCCCATGTTGGATCGGCCAAACGCCAAAATTCTTTCAGACCAGCAGCTCTCCGCCATCCATGCCTCATGGCTAGCATCAGCCTCGGCTGTTTGAGAAACCTCATTGCATTTCCATGCAACTCAGCTCGACTAGCTTTCTGGAGCGTACCCTTTCGTGACAGGGCCGACTCGGATTGTCGAAGGCTCTTAGTGATGACGAGGCCTCATGCCCAGGACTTTGCCAGGCAGCTCGCGAGTAGCGCCGCTGAAAGCTCTGGCAGAGCTCAGCCTGATGACTGCAAAGGGCTGCAGCGCATCAGCAACCAAGCACGACCCCGCAACCCGCCTCGTGCTGTTGATGTGTGTATGTGAGTGAGCACATACATGTGTTTCTGTTCGTGGGTGGATGCGTTGGTCTGCCATCCGTTGTGTGAGGAATGTGTCAAGGCGTTACGTGGTTTGAGCAATCCTGCTTTCTGAAATCTTTAGCATTATGCTTTCCCCTGCTGTGCTTGTTTATCTGCATCCATGTACTCAAGCAAGTACGAACTGGCGATTTCAACTCAAAGTAACATGATCAGTTTCAAGCGTAGTGGAAGCGGCCTGATTGAGGAAAGGCCATCCACAAGTGCCCGAAGCAAACAACAATTCCCAGACTGAGTTCGAATCGTTTGTCCCGTTTCAGGCTTGGAGCTCCCACATCCTGTCTGCGTCTTGTCTGTGTCTGTGTCTGACTCTGTGTCTTTGTGTGTGTGTGTGGGTGTGTATGCGCGCTCAGGCAAATTAACATGGAAATCACAGCCAAAAGAAAGTCCCCTCTGCAAATCCAAGGCTCGATTCTCGCATGACCCCAGTCGAGCACCTGCTTCTGCAGCTGCGAACCTCGAAAGGACATGTGGACTGGGATATTGGCAACGCTGGGCATCCGTTGCAAACATAAATTGTGAGTATGCATGAATATCAAAACGCCGGTCAAGAGGCAATCCCTGCCCTACCGGTCGCAAAAGGCTGCTTAGGGGCCATTGATTCTGATCATCTCCCAGAGTTGCAAGCCCCTGGTCTGCTCAAGAAACAAGGGTTATTCGCAAGTTGATCGAGGAGAAGCTGAGACAGGTAAGGAGGATTGCTGACGTGAATGGCTTCTATTTTTTGATCATGGCGTTGCAATCGGTGCATAATCACACTCTGTTGCTTTCCAGGCAGCGAAGCTCCTGTGCAAGTCGAAACTTAGAGAGCGGCATCTGTTGCACTCGCTGGTTGTGTTTCTTGCGGCAATGTGTACGAGCAAAAATGGTTGTTTTCTGATATGCGCTTGAAGCTGGGCACGATTCCGATAGGCGTCAATATATTATGCGTTGGCACAAATATGTAGCAAACTTACACTGGAGAAAAATGAATTGATTTGGATGCATCCCAGTCTGACGGTATGACACTTTCACTCATGTTCAACTCCATGTCATAGCTCCTCACTTGGCTCGTCCCCCTCTGCCAGGCATGGCCTGAAAGCAGAATCACAAAAGGCTGACCGCAATGTCCAATGGCAAAAATGCAGCACTTGCCAACTCTGCAGGACTTCTTTTCAGCTTCGCTGGTCTGATTGTATCGGGCCAAGCTTCCCCAGTTCTCTCCTTCGCTGGCAGCCGGCTAAGGCCGCCGACAGCCGACAAAACTCGAGTCTGTGGTGCCAAACGGCCCCTTGTAAGCACTTCTTGCCGGAGGGAGGCTGGTCTGATTCGTTGTTGTAGCATCAAGTGGTTAAGAAATAAGCCCCACCGCCACAGCTCACACGGGCAGACTTTCAGATCAATTGATTAATGCGCAGCATGTGCACAAATCAGTGAAACTAGCTTGTGTTTGTTCAACCAAGCAATTGAGGAGAAGTTCGTGCCATGCGCCTTGTTGGCATGCTACTTTAAAAGGAAATTCAAATGAAACGGCCCTCTGAAACGGCTTTCTCGCCGCTTCAATGACCCGAGCTCTTAGGCAGATGCTCCAATACTAGCACCTGAAAAAGATCCAGGTCTAAAGTTTCACAACGTGACATTGACAGTGACGAACGTTGGAGCCTGAGCCTGAAACTTCCCGGGTCCAAACAGGTGCAGGTGGCAAAGGCAGTGTCGACTGGTCGACCTCCTCGTCTTGGGGTCGAGATGCTTGCACGTAGATCTGGAATGCTACTGGGTCCTCCTGCAGGCTCTTCAGGAAGAATCGGAAATAGTCCTTTGTCGTCTCATCAGTGGAGCAACATATAGTGGAACAAGAAGCGGGTAGAAAAAACAAATAACTAAGCAAAGTGAGCAAAGCTTTATGCAACTCAACCCTCGTAGACCCGCAAGGCTTGTCTTCAAAATAGCGTCAGCGTGAGCTTGTGCTGGATCTGAAGATCTTGTCTTCAATGGCGTTTTGGCAAACTTGCACCACGGCAGTGACATGTTTGCATGCGTCATCAAAACAGACTCTACAGCTCAGCCGTTTTGAGCCTGAGTGCCATCTCAGATTGCGATAAATCATACGGTGCAGTTGCTTCTGAAAGCCTACAGGTGTAAGCGACGGTCAGCAGCTTTCAAAATGCAAGCGCACCTTACGCTCTCAAGCTCAGTCTCGGTTTCCTGCAATTGTTCAAAGCCACAATGTGCAGCTTGTGCAAAGCATGGGTGCAAGCCACATTATAGCGATTGGTGGGACTATGCGACTGTGCAGAAATTGAATGGTGCATCTCCTGGTCGTCATTCAGTGCCTTCCACCATGCCTGCGATGCCAAGGCCCATTCAAAGTGCACGGTGCGCCAAGGTGGGGCTTGTCCAAGGGGCTCGTCAGATTGGTCACCTTTGAACTATCCAAACACTGAAACTTGCGAAGGGGCAGCATGAAGTTACAAAATTGCCGAAAAGGACTTGTTAGAGGTCGGTAGGAGAGAAACCTGGAAAGAACTATGCTCAGATTTGAATGGGGCAGCAAAGCAGGAGAGGAACATGCACCATAAGTTGATAGTCCTGGAAACTGCAATTTGGGAAACTGTAATTTGTAGCGTGCTACCTGTCTTTGGTGAGCTCTCAGGGCGAAAACCAGCTTGCTGTCTAGACGTCCAAGTTGAACTGCATCGTACGCCCTTCGCGAAACAACTGTCAAATCTACTGGATTTCCCGCGCTGACGCTGCTCACTACTACAAATGGTAAATGATGGATGCTGATGCTCATCAAGGTGTTCACAAGCTGATTGGCAGACCATGGTTGCGTTCTTCCAACAATCAGGACAGCCTTTGTGGTTGCTCCTGTCACGGATGACACACAATTTGATAAATCGGAATCGGTGTCTAGCAGAGATAACACCAAGAAGCGCTGTACAGTGCAAACCGACTGAGACTAGACGAGGTACAGTTGACGGCCACCTTCATTTCCAATCAGAAATGTGAGGTGGCATTCTTACAAATATTCCTGAAGCCAATTGTGCCGTTGTGAGACACACAACAGCAAAGCCAGAGAGGAGGACAGCAACAAAGAGGCAAAATCAAGTATGCGAGAGACACTCGGAGAAGATTTGATGAAGTAGCGAGGAAGTAAGCACAACAGAAAAGTAAGTGAAGACTCAAGAAGCAAGCACACACACTAGTATCAGGGAAATCATGAGAGCGGTGGACAAGCAACTGGAAAACGCAAAGAAGAACTAGCCTGGGATTCGAACCACTGCCTGCGTGGAATCAGCATTGGCATACGTTTGTTTTTGGCCCGAACTGACTCCAATTGACCTTGCAAACCCAAGTGCACTCGAGCCTTCGGCGCCTGCGATGCAGGGCCTGATTGGGAGTCGCCATGCACAAAAAGGCCAAGACAGAGCCTCGTTATAATTGTGAAAACAGATCAACCAAAGCCAAAGCACTTCATTGGCAAACTGCAAGATAGCTGGGGCATCATGAAATGGGCATACTGGTGGCAGAGCAACTGCCTTGGTGGGTGACACTCTCGGGGGTTCCGAAGGATCGGCCTCTGTTGGCTGCGTCCAACTCGCTGAAAGCTTGCTGTCGATGGTCCACGGAGGCACGAAGACTATTCACAACCTGCCTGTCGGCAGTGCAGCTCAGTCGTCTGATGCTGTCAAAGCGGGTGGTCACGAGCTGGTTGCTCTTGGCCACGCATGCGACAAGCCTTCTCTCTCTCTCTCTTTGCATGATCTTAGATATTGTGTTCCTTAATTGTTTGGTCTATATTAATTTAGACCACTTGCCTTCCCCCTGCTTGAGCTACTCCATTTTGCTTGGAGCGACTGGTGTTCCAGCTCTGAACAAGAATGAACCTTCAAGTTGCTCCGCGCCTGAGATGGTCTGACAGGTTCTGCAGCACACTGTGACGCTGCTCAAAGCCCAGCTCTGCCTCGTCCAGAAGTTCCTGGTCTGCCTTGGCATTTTGAGCTGTTCAGGGTTCTCGTGATCGCCAACTCAGGCCAGACTAGTCGGAATAAGGGCAGGCAGGGAGGCAGGCAGGCACACAACAAATAGATAAGCAAAAACTTAGGTGGACAACACACAGGAAAGAGGGAAAAAGGAAAGATGGATGGAGATAGATAAACTGACAGCAGGCAAACAACAATAAATAGATAATAGAATGGACAAGACAAATGGCAAGGAAAACGACGGATGGACGCATGGGCGGATGGGTGGGTGGGTGACTGGTGGATGGGTGGATGGGTGAAAGGGTGGATGGTTGGTGGATGTATGGATGTATGGATGTATGGATGTATGGATGTATGGATGTATGGATGTATGGATGTATGGATGGATGGATGGATGGATGGATGGGTGGGCGACTGGTGGATGGGCGGACGGATCAAGAGGTGCATCTGTGACTGTGAGGTGTGTGATGTTCGCACGCACGTACACCCAAATTGCCGTGGCCTGACAGCAGTGAACATCATCAAACTTCTCCAGACCATTCACTTCTGGCGTGATCTAGGCATTTCAGCCCTGAGTTCAATCATTATTTTGCAGGCCAAGCGCTCCATGAGTTAGCTCTGCAAATCGATGCTTTAGCGATGCCGCTTTCATCCGCTCACCTGGGTTCTCAATTTTGCTGGCAAAGCAAAACTCTCCACAGCAGCAGCAGCAGCAGCAGCAGCAGCAGCAAAGGCAACGTCAGCGACAGAATGCTTCCACAACTAGGCAGCACCAGGATAGATCTTGATTCTGTGCAACCCAAGCTCCACAGAAAACCCGCCACGCGACATTTCACAGCTTTAACACGGCAGAAAACAGTTGAAGTGATACCTTGGCGTCAGCCAGCCTTTCAGGTACTACCCTGTTCAGGGGAAATAGTCAGTGCGCAAAGGCTCCGTGACAACAATCTGGGGTCCTTCACTATGTCCAAGGTGTCAAGCCCATTGCCACCATGCGTCGCTTACGGTTGAGGGCCTCTTTGGCCAAAGCTGCTGCCTGCACCTCGGCAAAACTAAATGCCGCACACCACATGCTTCAAACCCTCCCATTGCGCTTGAAAATCGCTGAACATTGCCAGCGTTCCAAGGCACCAGCAAGAATCGTGCATTTGTTCCCTGTCAAGATTTGCAGCCATGGCACCATCTCTGCTGGGGGAGGCGCATCCGTGGCCTGTCGCTGGATGGAAGGCATCGCTCTTGCTCCCTCAAGACTCCGAAGATTCCACACTGCAATTTGAAAACGTTCATGTTTGAAAACAATTGCACCTTTCAAAATTCGCCTCGGCCCCAAGGGGGCCAAGGGCGCTCAGACCTTCCCCAACCCCTTCCCCACCCCGGACCAACCCGCCCCCCCTCACCCATGTCTGCTGGCCCTCAGATCCTGTCCGGCGGGCCTTGTTGTCGGCGTCCTTCAAAAAATAGTCTGTTGGTCCCGAAAAGCATGACCTCCTGCTGGCCAGAGGCCTGTCTCCCCTGTCTGAGACGAACCTGACAGCCCAACCCAACCAGCAACCCACACAAGCAAGGCCCGCGGCCCGCCAACGCAGCGCCAGCTGCAGCCAAGCAAGGGACACGTCAGACAAACCAGCCTTGTCATGTCTGAGACTCACGTGTCTGAGACTAGCCTCGGGCCCAGCCCAGTGTCTGAGACTCACCCCAGGCCCAGCCCAACCAGCAACCACCCAAGCAAGGCACATCCCAGGCCGCCTAGCCCAGGCCCTCCACCAACCAACCCAAGCAAGACCCAGCCCAGCTCGCCCTGTCCTGTGCATCGCTTTGCCCTTGCCTCGGGGATTCTCATGACATCAATTGGTCCAACGACGCCAGAACCTGTCCATGCCTGAATCGCCTTGACCAGCTCTGCTGTTTGCAGTCGATCCACAGACGCTGCGCGCTCGGCTTGGCCGAGGCGGGCAACGCGCAGCGTTTACAATAAAGCACCCAAACAAGCAGCTCGATTTGAAGAAACTGCTGTTCGTGGCGCACAGCATCTGAAAACTTGGCACCCACCGATTGGTCATGCCTGTTGCTTCCGCTGTAATGCAGCCTGATGGCACCGTATAGATGTGCGCATGTGTGAGCTGCGCATTCTCCAATGTTTGAGCTGGCATTTCATGTGCCTTGGTGGCAAAGTCGCCTTTTGCGGCTTGTAAGAATTCAACAAGTTGGATTCCCGTGAGGCATCCCAAGCATTCACTCCTTTGTCCACCATCAGAGCAGCTCGTTGGATCTGAATAGCACGTAGTTGAAGAAACCCATATTGAATCATATTGACTAGAATGGAGCAAAAGCTTGTGTCCGCTCACCGGCTTCGCTATAGCTTCATGTTCAGGGTGGGCCTCTCTTGCTTGTGCTTGAGCTCTGCAGACTCTACACTGCCTCCGTGCAGCAACGCCAATGATGTCACGGTCCATCATTTGCTGCACCAGTCGAGTAGTCTAGCAGTCTAGCAATCGTGCTGAGCTGAGACATGCTGCCCAAGCGTTGGGATGTCTGCAGTTGATTGAAAGTGGTGCTAGTTGCCCGTGCCTCGGACAGCTATCACAACGGCACAACGCAGTACCATCCGTGCCTCCAGACGTTCGACAAGACTCCCCAGACGGCTGCGGAGCAGCAGCAAAGCGGGAGCGCCAGCACTGATGCTTCCATGAGGATCCTCAGTCCTAGGATCAAGAGCACGAATAAGCACGCTAGCCCTCGAACAGACCTGAACGGTTGACTTGTGTGCAATGGTCTTGCCATGCCTTGCCCCTGTTTCTGCCAAGAGACTCCAAGCCTGAGCTGGTCCTGCCAATGGACTTCACAGCGCAAAAGATAAAAAAACAGATGCAACGCAGAAACTTCCTGTCAAGCTTCAACCGAATGAAAGTGCTCTTTGCTACTCAAGCGCAATGGCCATGGCACCTTGCGGATACTGGAGGTATACCCTTTGCTGTGCCACCTGGTCAATTCACTGGGTTGATTGCGATACATCTGCGCACCTTCAAAACAATGCTGGGTTGCCAGAACTAATGCAAGATCAAGCCACTTGACAACGCATGCTTTGCTACGTCGAAAAGGACTTCGCGCACAAAATCCCTGACTTTTTGCTTATCCTGGCGAGAAACCACGTCTGTGTGGCTTTCATGCTTCTCAATCACAAGATGCGTGTGTGTGTGTGTGTGTGTGCGCGCTAGCGTGCCTTGCCTGCTCCTCTTGGCGTTTGCCTTGCACAGCATCCCTATGCAGCTTCTCACGGACGTGGCGTCGCTGCGCATAGGCATTCTCTCCTTGGCGTGCAACAGGATGCGCTGTCGCTTATATGCCTGCTCCACGATCAATTTCCACAGAAACAACCAGAATAAACTCTGATGTCTCGTTTCGATCGCTCATGCCTGCCTCGTATTTCTGACAATGCAGCTGCAGTGACTAACTGGCAGGCAATCTCAGCTAACTGAGCCGTAAGCGTTTCTTCTTCCAATCTTTCAACTCCTGAAGGTCAAAGAGACGAGCATGCCATAAAGCGGGTCAATCAGAGCAATCATAGCAACAGCGGTACGTCAACCTCGAACGCTGGGCTTGCCCTTCAAGACATGGCTTTAAAATGCCAACTCGTAGTCACAAAATCGAAGGAGTAAGCAACGCAAAGAATGAATCGATGAAGATAGCATATCTTTCGATGCGCTTCCACGCCGAGACGATGCCTCTAGGTAATGGGCGCAACGGGCCTCTGCCACCTGCTCAGCCAGCTGTGCAGCGCCACCGCTGGCAAGCTGCAGCCGCGGGTCCCGCTTCTCACGGGTGACCTGAGCAAAGGGCCAAAAGTACCAAAAGTACCACAGGTGCAACAAACGCCTCAACAAAGTCAACACACCATGGCAATTTACCCCCGTGCTGTCGCTCCCAGCAGCAAACATCTGACTCTCAAACATGGATAGAGATTCATGTCCGCTTCAAATGGTCTATGGCTCTCTGCGGTCTGTGAAGAGACAGAATGAGCACTAATTGACGATTAAGAGAAAAAAACATATCCTGCTGTTATCGTCCTGAAGCAATTGGAGCAAGAAATGGATTGAGGCAAAGCACCCCAACGCTCAACGAAAGTGTTCCCAGGGCGTGAGCAAGCCAAACCCGCATGATGAAAAGCATGCTGGCTGGTGGCTCGGCGGGCTGTCAGGGCATCTGCGTCGAACTCCACAATGTTGTGAATGCTTTGAACCTTCAAGCACTAGGGGCAAAAAGATGTGCTGCAATGCTGGGAGAGATGATTCAACAATCATCATTAATTCATGAAGCTCAATAGTCAAGATCTTCCTGATAGCTCGCGGCAATAGCACGAAGCTGCAATGGTTGCAAGGCTTCGTTTCAAGCATCGCTGTCAGTCCTTTACCAAAATAATAGCTTTGTCGAAAGTTGCTGCTGGCTAATGGAGACACTAGCAAGGATTGCCTCCTGCAACTTCTTCTCGAGTTCCTCTATCGCCTTCCAGCCAACCAGCTCTCATGGGAAGTGATTCTGCAATCGAATGAGAGATTGATGCATAAACCCCCACCGTCATGTAAGTTTTGCAGGTACGGGATGACAGCGAATGTGCATGTGCTTTCACTGCATGTTTCAAAGGGGACTGTGCATCTCGCCGGCAGAGCTCTATTCCAGGGCAACTTCCTACGCTCGCGCCTTCTCCACCTGTGGTAGTTCGACCTGCATCAACAATGAAAGCCAGCGAGAGAGAAAGAGAGAGAGAGAGAGAAGCTCTGAGCCGACAAAAGATGCCATCGTGAACCAAATCCCTGCCCCCAGATATTGACATAGGGAGATAGAACAAAGGCTCAAGTAAACAAAAGATGTCACACCCATAGCAGCCGTAGGGTTTGAGCTCAAGATTGTTTGACGAGAACTCAAAAGGCTTTGCCTGCCGAGAAGCCTGCACGGCAGAGCGCAGGTCCTTCGGCTTGGCCATGGCTCATGCCTCTGGTCCTACCGGATCTGGGAGCCCAGCTAAGAGCAAAGTTCAATGCCGTTCAAAGAGCAAACATCCAGCATCACATTCAAAGCATATTGCGTACGTGCTGGCTAGTTGGTCCTGCAAATGCCAAGACAAGGCTGCAGTCTGTCCCTAATTTGTTCTTTGCATGATTTGAGGCCACTGCCATCTCAAGCTTGATACAATCGTGGCATGATGACTTGACAGTGTGCCTTGTCAACCTGGATTGAGATGATTGCACGTCAACTGGCCAGCAATGCCCGGTTTCCGAGAGCTGCGCTTATCCATGCGTTCATCCGAACACACCTTGTCAGCATGATGCTCGGCAAGGTAACACACAGCGAAGGCACGTCGACTTGCAAGTGACGGACTGACTGACAAGGCAGCACATACATCCCACATTGCAATCACATGTTGGTTTTTGCAAAACTAGTTCTCCTGAAAACTGCCCTTCCGCTCCCCTTTCGCAAACCTTCCACGCACTTCCGCGCCCATGTAAATCTACGTACAAGTTATCACTAATTGTCGACCAATGTTTTTGTTTTCTGGCCCTTC